GACCACAAGCAAAGAAAACAAATTATGATCGCAAATTCACGCTAAAATCGATCTTCATAATAATACTCTGAATTAATAATACATACAGATATTTTTCCCAATTTCACGCCTTTCGCTGCCATGGTGGAGACGAACAATTTTTGTAGTTTAAGCTGTCTCTCGCTTGCCTTGAACGAGACAAGATTTCGAAATTTCTTTAATGTATAGTGAACATGCCTTTCCAACCCAAGTCGATGAAAATATTGCATTTTTGTTTCAAGTTAATCGATGCGCATTTCAAACTAATTTAGCCGCAGGTGCAAGTTCTACTCCTAGAGAGAACGCGATCTTAGTAACTCGCTAATACAAGCGCACTAAAGGAACAGCCCAGCAAGTGCTCAATATTTGAAAAAGCTTTGACGGAAATGACAGAGTTTGTTTGGGCGCTTTTCAGCGGTATAAAAACAAAAGTAAAATATCGCATTTTGCGCGCTTTTTTCATGAGAGTCGGAATTTTTGCCACTCATCAAACGAGTGGAAACAAGTACGGTTGCGAAACGATTTCTCTTGGCTTGGAGAAAAAAAACTCATGCTCGATATCCTTTGTATTGTCCGCCCCTCGGCCAATCACTGAGTACCGTAATTTCAACTTTCAACTTATGCGCGTGATAGGTTTATTGGAAGCCGTTGTATTTTATTAACTTTGGGAAAAGAGGTTTTTATTTTCCCAGCTCTGACAAATGCAAATTAAATTTTCACGCATCTTCAGTGAGTAGCGGAGTCGCTTTTGTCGCTCTTGTGATATCCAGGCTGTCTCTAAAACCCTTAACGGCTCACCGCAACGTGTTTCTATCACCGTGGGTTTTCGGGCTATTTTCAGGCCTAATGCTAATCAGGGATATTTAGATTATGTAAAATTGAGTGCAAAATTCAACTTCGGCGGAAGAGGAGCATAAATAAACTAAAAATATAATCAATTTAACATATCTTTTCTAAAAACAAAACTACGTGCGATCGCTCGCTCTTTCATTGAAAATTTCTAAAAGCAGAATTTTCCATGCGTGTGATCTACTGTATTCACTCGACTCACTTGAGGGTCCAATACCACAATTATCACATGGTTCTCACGCCAAGTACAACATCTAAATAAACATACACACAAACCTGCTACTTAAGCCACATATATGTTAAAAAGTACGAGTTTAAACTGAAAAGAAAAACATATACTCACTCCAGATTTGTGGTCGGTTGAGGCAGATCTCCTATGGCGGTCAGTGTGAGCGTGGACCAGTAAAAAGATTGTAGATATTGCTGATACAGGGAACCGTTCCCTTGATAAACCCATTCATTAGTTCCGAATCCCTCCGCTCTAGATATCATGTAATAAAACGCTGCGTTCCAGTGTATGAGGAGAAACATAAGGTGCATTAGAAAGAACACGCGCAAGAAAGTAGGATAGTTCGCTTGTGACTCCATGACGGATTTAATACGAAAGCTTTTGTATCCCTTAACAATTCGGTTGACTCTGAGAAGCGGAAGAGGTCCAAATGCGGCATACAAAACATCAGTTGGAATCAAGGACACCACGTCCGCAATAAACTCTACAGAGTGAATGTATCGCTTATACACTCGTTTCGTGTCCATTACCAGAATTCCCTCCTCTAGAAAGCCAGTTCGCGCGGCGATGGCGATATCCAGGGCGTAAATGGCATCGCAAAAATAGTCGAAGAGAAACCAAACTATCTTCAAAACGCCAGTCTGGGCTTCGGGAAAGGCTATTCTCGTAATCAATGCCCACAGGTTATAGCGGATCGCAAAAACAAGCACATAAAACCACACGCAAAGATGAAGACCATCTGGATCGAAAATAGGCTTCTTGTCTTTCCAACGAATCGTTTGGTCGTACTCGTATACAGAGCCACTTGCTAATTCACTGTCAATTTCTTTTTCGATTTCTAAAGTAGCGCGGCGCGAACCGTCAGCGGAATTCACCTTTGAGAGTACATTATCAGTAGAGGAACTTTTACTTGATGCCTTAGATCTCTTTCGGTTTGGTGGAGTAACCTTTCTGTTATCTCGAGTGCTAAACTTTTGAAGAAACGGATCCACAGTAACGGAAGATTTCACCGTTGACCGCCGTCGCGATCTCGACGGTTTCACGGAGTTTTTGACAAACACCGCGTTTCGGATTTGCTTAGTCACCGTTCTCCACCTTCCCACAGATTCCACGCTATCGCTGTCCTTTAAAGTGCTTTGTTTGTGTTTTATTTTATCTTCTGTTATTGTGCTATTGCTGTTGCTGTGTCCTCCATTTGATACTTGTCCCGTGTTATGCAGTTCATCTTCGTCGTCCGATTGTTCATTGTTCTCGAACCTCACAGCTTTTTCCATTTTCACCTTTCAGTTAATCGTCTGGCTTCATCCTGATTCAGTTTGTCCGGTCACCCTTGATTCAGAGCTCTATAAACAATTTGTCGCGTCAACACCAACTAATACAGTAAACTCACTCAAGGGATCACAGACGCGCGAGTCAAATCAATTACAAGTCCAACAATAACACTTTTCATGGTATCATACGTAAAATTAGCTTACTGAGGTGAAACGAATCGATTCTTTTCAGCCTCAGGATAACGAGGGGTCTATTTCACTCGCATTGAATTCGCTATTGTTCGTCTATTTTCGTTTAAGGCCTGCTCAAACAACAAGTTTTGATGTTAATGTGAAATAAGGTATTTAAACACTCTCGCGATTCTATTGACGTCGTGTGTCTCAAAGGACCAATCATGTGCCTTTTGTGTGCATTACACGTTTATTGAAAAAACCTATTCTCGACTTTTAGCGAGTCTGTGGATCTCCGCTCTTTAATCATGTTACCTGTAAACCAATTCCATCTTGACTAATTGGTGATGACTCAGGGAAAGCTTACTTAGTGAGATGCAAATACAATATGACAAAGTGAGGTTAAATTTAGAAGAAAGTTTCAGTGAGTAAACTCAGAGGATTAAGTCCCTTGTAAACCGACTAATCACAAGTTGTTTCCATCAAGCGGCTCGATTAATGTTAATATCTTATCATGTAATTATCCAGGCGATTATAACGACCTGCCCGTGACAACGTGCCATAGCAACGCCATTAGGAATTATGTCTGTATGTACACTACGAGATAGTTCATTGTCAAACGAAAAGAAGAATACATATGAACGGCTTTGTGAACCGATCCTAAGGAAAAAGAGGGTTGAAAACAAGAAAGGTCTGCTATATACTTTCAACGTTCAAATTAGCGTTTTGCAATTGAAATCACACAAAGATCTCGACAGTTTTGTCTAGTTGGTTGAAGTACTGAGTTCCTATTTCAAATTTCAAATTTGGTTTTCACGTATTAATACTAACTTAGCTAAGGGCCAACACCAACAGCTTTCCTTTTACGAAATCACAAAAATTTTTGCGTAAGGTAGCTTTAAGCAACAAATAAAGAACTCAGTTAGGTAACGCTACTGTTCTAAATACTATATATTTTACCTATGCACGAGCAAACCACCAACGTCTTACCACTGATTTTCGTTGTTGTCTTAGTAACGTTTGCTCTTTCTACGTGGCAGCTGTGAGAGATGAGATTTTTTGTACTTTAAGAATTGCTAGTTTACTTGGCCAATTGAGGGAGAATAAATAGACTCGATGGTCGTTCGCCATCATAGAACCGTGTTCTTGATTCATCAGTTTTAATCAATCAATTTGCTCTTACTTTTGAGACATTGTCCTTCGTTGACAATAGACAGTGTCCATTTCGATGCTAATTCAGGCCTGAAATGTCACATCGCTTGTCAATTGCATGATCATTTTAATAATACACTGTTCGTTTGCCAGGAGCTACTGCAGATGACAGAATTTGCGTTGCAAATTTGGAACTTAAGAGGTCTCGATTTTAAGGTCTAACAATGAAAGGATTTGTATGCTGGCCGAGTCATATTTATTCTTGCGAAAAGAACACGATGGTAATTAAAAGACCATCGGGGCAAAACTATTGAAAAAGGACAATTGACACAGTATTATAAATTGTAATTCAAAATGCTTGTAGATTTTAGTCTTCATTGAAAAGTACTTCAAGACAGTAAAATGTATGGTTCAGATTTATATTTTAAGGTAGTTTTCTCGAATAAAATGTATTCTTTCCTGTATGCGACAATTTGTAAGAACTAGAAATCAATAAAAACCTGAAGACATTAACATGTCACCTTCCAACAACGAGTTGTAATATTGATTCTTGTACTTTTAATTAAACATTTTGTTCGCATCCGTCCGTGTATTGATGAGATAGCAAAGGTGCTTGGAGCTCAGTCAGGAATTGGTTTAAAAAGATGCTGCTCGCAAAAAAGCTAGAACTTTAAAAAAAAGTAAAACATTGTGACCTCGATGATTTGGTGGCGAATTGACGTTTTTGAGTTAATTCTTACTCGACTAAAGCAGGTAGCACAATAAAAAGTTATCATTACTGTTTTAGTTAAGACAGAAGAATGATTTTAAAGTTGTCACTGTTACAAACGCTCTAACCTGTAAGACTTATGAGAAGCGCAAAGCAAACCTAGTTTGGAGAAACTTGTACTGTATACAAGTCGTAACGAGAATGTATTCTAACCATTGTTAAACAATCACACTGCATTCACGTCTCGCTTACCTCAGGCTTGCTTCCATCAGGCTTCAAGTGAAATAAATGAACTCTATGAATTAAAAAGAGCTTATCGGGGACACTAATCAGATCGGCCTGTTACGTCACAGCTGGAACAAAACCCGCTACCTTAGATCTTGTGATTAAAACGAAACTAGTTTTCTCTCCATTTAACAAATTGCTCACTACGATGTATTTCATTTACAGCAATCGAATTGGCGAAGAAATTATCGCGATCTTTGTGTAAGAGTACAAAAGATTTACCTTTTATTTCGTGTAATAAAAAACACATTTTTCCCGGTGTGCTTCTTCAATCAGTAATTTGCATTTATTTGTCAGTGCGTATCGCCCGTTACGACAGTTTGTGGGAACAAAATGCACCAAGCACTCTCAGTTGCTGAGAAAAAATAACACCCCTTGCAGATGTTTTCGAAACGTGCTTTCCTGTGCACGTACGATAGCAAATTTGCACGTAACAGATCCTGAAAAAATCAGCAAGACTGTTACTCGTAATGTCTGGCATCACGAAAGCTTGCTGTTGCGTATTCGTGAAAATCTACCACGGAAACATTCCCATAAATACTCCATCACGGAGAATTAATAAATCAAGGTGATTAAAATCAGACGAGCACTTAGTCCCAGAACGTGTTTCTATTTTATCTTATGTGTTGTACGTAGGCTTTTTGGTGATCAAAATATCTTTGAGTTTCCTTAGGTCGGCCGTTTTCTTTGATATGGAAATTGAAAACGTTTATTTTCTCGCACTAGTCCTTCCCAAGAGCAATCTTGAGAAAAGATAATTTTCTCTATTTTTTAGGTCAGTTCTCGCACTAACTCGACTTTTTTTTTAAGGAAAATGCGCTGCTGAAAAAAAAAA